ACGGAATCTGAAAAGCAGGAAATACGGAATCGATGGGACTCGTATTGGAATGAAATGGTACTCAACTTGGGGAATCTTCCGCTTGCTCTTAATTGGTATTTCGTCATTGCTTGGTGGAAAGGGTCCAGGTTACTGATGCGATGTGCAGGTCAACCGAGCAAGGTTTCATCAAGAATCAGGTGCACATTTCTGTGAAGCGACAGACCATTTTGCTGATCATCACTTAGGTTTGGGTGGATGTCCTATGCCTCATCACTGCAGTGGCCTCCTTCCGTGGCGGCTGGAGGGCGACAGCTTTACCCTCTCCTCCTCCACCAGCTCCTACATCTTCCGAAGCAGTAGTTCCCCCGAAGGAGGCTAATGCTGATATACCGACGGTCGCTTACGACATCTCCTGTGAGAAGTGTGCCTATCAGATTTTAGCGCAGTAAAGACGCAAAAGGGAGAGAATTTAGCAGAGGGATGGACAAGTACCAGTCATCCATGCAAAACATCGTTTATTCCCACTGTATATTATTTATATGGAGCTGGAAGGAATGTGGCTGATTCATGGCTTGATCGATTGATCTTCGACCACGATCATGAACATACCGAATATGCCACCAAATCTGCCAGCAGCGCTCAATCTGCTAGGCCACAACCCTTTCATGACCCCAGAGCAGGCCGAGGAGATACGTCAACTCCTCCACAATGAAGAACACGTCCTCGCGAGCCTCAACGCTGAGATCAACGAAGCCACTGCTCTGCTGGAGAAAATCACGCGAGACAGAGATGCGTTGCAGGAAATCATAGTGGGAAAATCCGGGCCACATATGGCTGCCCTACGTGCAGGGATTGAAGAGAAGGAGAATGAGCTGAGGCGAGCGCAGAGGGAGAACCAAGCCGTGAAGGCGAGCTGGGACCGGATGTGCTGCGAACGGGGCATGGTCGCAGAATCCGACCCCGATCTTCTTGAGCACCTCGATTTTGAGATTGAGCTGTGCAGACAGGCGGCGCAGAGGCTCGAGAAGGATGAAAACGCTATCCAGGCCTCACTGGATACGCAACGGGACGCTCTGTCGCCTATTCGCCGACTTCCTGTCGAGCTGCTCTCGGAAATATTCAAGCTCTGTCTTCCGGCTTCATATGTCGTCCCAAAACTGAGGAGCGCGCCATTGCTCCTGGTCCAGGTCTGCAGCACCTGGCGGCGGCTTGCGCTTTCGATCCCCCAGTTATGGAGTTCTATCGCCGTCGAGGTTACCGTTCAACGATGCCGACCGCCTGTGCCTCTTATCGAGCTCTGGCTGCAGCGGTCGATGAACCAGCCTCTGTCTTTCTCAATCACGGAGCTGGAGCAGGAGGATGCTAGAGAGATCCTGGACCCCGTTACCGCTGCTTCCGTTCTCAAGTCCTTCATCCCTGCTCATCATCGCTGGACAAGTGCCAAGTTGGAGTATCATGACTGGCGCTGGCCGTCCGGTCTCGAACAGTTGCCCCCAGACGCATTACTAGATTCATTAGAGACGCTGGAACTGCAGCGTGAGTATTGGTTCAAGGATGACACTCCCGACTTGAAGCGAGTTCTCCAAGCTCCTCATCTTCACAACCTTACTTGGCATAGTCGAAGTCCACCTTCCGACTACCTTCAAACAGTCAATACATTACAGCTGACGCATTTAGATCTAGTCCGTCCTGTAACAAAGGATGTGTTTCTCGACGTCCTGAGCGGATGCCGTGCCATACAGTCCTGTACCTTCTTCGTCCAACTAGTCGGCAGAGCACCTGATGACCCCGATGACCCAACATTGGACACATCTCTTATAGTTCTTCCCCATCTTCACACCTTTGAACTCACAGTCGACACTGCACTGACTACACTGCTACCTCGATTAGTCTTTCCTTCATTGACCACCCTTCAGATAAACAAACTGGACGAGTTTTTCCTCATTAATCCAGCAAATCCCCCGCATTTCTGGGATCAAGGGGAAGTGAATGCGTTTCTTGTGCGTTCACAGTGCTCGCTACGGACACTTGATGTCAGGGATGTGGAAATATCTTCGGCAGAGCTGCTCGATGTGCTCAAATTCACTAGCCCTACGCTGCAGCAGCTCAATATCACGAATGAAAGGGCCAAGGATAATTGCATAACGGACGATGTTGTCCGAGCGCTCACTGCATCCTCCTCGCCCAGTGACCCTACTTTTCTGTGTCCTCAGCTTGATTATCTCAAGTTGTGGAGATGCGTGTCGTCGACGGATGGTTTGCTGGCGGATATGGTGCAGTCGCGCTGGTTGCCTCAAGAGGAGGATACGGCGAAAAGAATGAGGCTGGTCATTATCCTGTTACGAGACGAAGAGCGTCACGCAATAGATGTAGTGCGCCTGAAAGAGTTTCACAGACGTAGGCCAGGCATTACCTTGGTTCGACGCTAGATCTAGAGGACCATAGAATCTGACCCAGTCAGGCGGTCTTCCGTTAAACAGATGGATACATTAATCGAAGAAAGTGCGAAATAATTCTATCTGATCCCTGTCAATGTGTTCAGCAATCGAACAAGGCAAAGTGATAACATGGCGTACACATGTGCTTGCCGTGTTTTCTTTTGGAATAACTTCCTATTCCACCCAGGATAGACTCCTTCCAGGGTCTCAGTCACCTTGGTCTTCGTACCGCCCTCTATTTCTTCCATCTCCCTCAATTTCCATGTGCGAATATCGTCTCTCCCAGTTACCCTACTCTCGTATAGCGACGTCAACTCCTCCTCATCCCACACCAACGTCGCTTCGATCCTCACATTCCAAGACATTGCTCGGCAAAACAAGTGCTGCGTCTCGGTAAACGCATAAGACTGCCGTGGCAGCTGACGAGCCCCCTTGGACTCGGACTCGAATTCCTGTGCCGCAGGTAGGTCGCGTGCGTCGTGTATTTCAGAGAGCGGCGTATTACGAGGGACGGCAACGACGTCTTTGGATAATAGTTTGAAGGCAGTTACAGGTAAGGAAGATGAACATGCGCGTGTGATTTTCTCTTGGTTTTTGCCTGTTCCGAGTACGGGGAAGACTTTGGAGACTGGATGATCGAGGACGATGGTGTGTTTCGAAAAGATATTGGCTTTTGCGGGGGGGACTGTCGATGTCGATGCCATGGCCATGTGAACTGGCCAACCCTTGGCAAGCTTATCAAAGAACAAGATAGTATTCACACTTGCATCGCGGGCCGGGGTCTCGACTCAGATGACGACATCAAAGACGACTACTTACTAGCGGTCGTCGGTTGACGACTACGATACCTTGCTTTACGGTTTGAATGTATATGGATGTGATCATGCGACAATGAATTGGTGGAGGTATATTACTGTGTGGAATAATGTGTAGGAAAGATACCGTTTCGGTCTCGATTTCAGCCCGCAGTCGTTTGCTGTTATAAACGCGATCCTTGTAATCCTTTTTGATCTCCGCGATGAACGCGTCGGTAATATGTCTTGGTAGGACACCGCAGAATTGAGTGAAGCTATCTCGACGATGTTTCGTTTGCATAGGAACATCGTAAAGCGTATGGAGAATCTCCTAGGCATGATACAAGGCTCAAGACTTCAACAACCGATGTATGATCGTAAAACATTGGGCTTTTTGAAGCGATATTTCGATCATTAATGAATATCCGTACACATCCAAATTCGGGATATTGAAGATAACGAAGACATTCTCCTCGTGTAAGCTTTGTAGGGATAGTTATATATACAAGAAATAAATCCTTCACAATGGATTCAATACCTTATCGGAAAAGTCACGTACCTTTACCGTATTCCAATTGATCTTCTAACTGTTGTCGAAAGTCCTGCAAGCATCGCCGTGGAGAAGGGAACAGAACATATATATCGTGTTTCAGTTCTCGCGAAGAAGTTCTGATGGTATTAATTCCGAGGGGACACACTGAACGTAGAGTGTCCACTATGACATCTTTGTGGTGTAGGCTTACGGTTGCTGCAACAGATGTGCCATCGATAAATCTAGGTTCAGCAGAATCCCAACCTCGATCTCATATTAGACCCTCCAAATCGTGGTCGGTCAGATCTCTTAACTATTCGTATCTTGAATACCGTGTTGTCGCAGAAATATGTAATAGACGTATCTTTAGTATCAGGGCAATATGTAAAGGTAATGATATTACCAGGCCGGTGGGTCTTTAAAGCAAATAATAGTAAGGGCGTAGAAAATCTTGCACATAGCTCTTCCACCTTGTGGAATCGCCATAACCCATCCCTTCAAATAGCGGTCTGTTGTACGATGTTGCAATTGCCAATGAAATAATACAGATATCCTCGTTTGTCCACGATAGACGATCCGACATGAATCTGTACACATCTGTTCAAAACGATCCCAATAATAAATTTCAACGTACATCGTGCTCTCTCAGTAAGTCAACTATGTCACTCATCTCCACCCCATCGAATACAGACGCTACAGGCGTGCCGTCATGAAAAGACATGGCGCAAGGAACGACGGCGGTCTGAGATAGAGATCTGAAAATTGACGTTGGTCACAAAACGATGACTAAGTATCAATGTCACATTAGTGACGCTAGCATGGTAATATCGAATCTACCAATGTGAGTGTCTTTACCGTGTTTACCTGGTATATGTATATGTTGCATTAATATCATGACGTCCTAATACGCGTTTATGCATGGAATATAACGAAGTACAATACTATCAAACAGTTTCAAACTTACATTATAAATTTCCTTGGTACTCAGTTCGCGGCACTGTCATACCGTGCGAAAAATCACAAGACAGGATGGGCTAACGTAAGCTTCCGAATAGACCTGAGAGACCTTGCAAGCAAGGTAACTGAAAGAGTATGCCGGCGGTCGCTGTGCTTATTGCAACCTCAAACAGAAATGGCGCAGCCAGGCGCACTGATCAAAGTACACAGTGACTGTAAAACATATGGCTAAACATTAGTAAATGTCAGGACTCAGCAGTAGCCTGAGGATAGAATAGATACATTAAAAATAAATAGTGCTGTAACGGGGACTCGAACCCCGCGCGGAGCCATGGGAAGACTCCATGTTAACCCCTACACCATTACAGCTTGTAAGGTAGTGAGGACGCACTTAAGGGAGACCCTGTCACTTTCTGTGCCTTTTTACGCTTGAATGAACCGGGGTAATATGCGGGGTTCCTTTCAGATGCCAACCGCGACCACCACAACAATTATCACTGACCCTTCGCCTCGCCCGTCGGCACACAAACCAAACAAGGTCTCTTCGTCGTCCTCTGCGACGTTGAGCGCCTTGATTGACCGTGCAGGTCGTGCATTTGTTAACCATGACCACCACCTAAGTCAATCCCTCGTCGACTCTGCCTTCACTCTGCTCCCTTCTCCTCTATCGTTCCCTGATGCGCTCGATGAACACCGCAAAACCTGGGACATATTTCGCATAACCCTCGAAGCCCATGTCTTTGCATCGCCTCCTGCAGCTGAGGATGTCCCGGAGCATCTGAAAGAGGTCATGCTGCAGTCGTCGCATGCATTGATGACGAGGATGTACCAGCGGTCGCTTACCCTGTTTACCCCGTCCAGTGGGTCATCGAAGAGCGTTGCGTCAGCAAACGTGGTCTATATACCCCCTTCAGTTCTCAATACCCTCGTCTACGCCAGTCTCAAGGTCAACTGCCCTGATATCGGCCGGGTCATCATTGAGGAATGGCTCGCTCATCGCCATGGCCGTCTGTCATCGAATCATACCTACCACGATGCGTACAAGAAAATTCTTGCAATATACTGCTTGCAGATTTTGCCAGCTCTGGAGCAATGGGACTATGCCAAAGAGTTTTTGGACTATGAAAGCGAGTTGTCGCCCAGGTCGCGGGAGGTACGTCTTATATTTCTGGTCCAATACCTGTCTCATTGTAGCATCAGTATCTTCAATCCTCGTTGGCCCGGCTTTGTACACAGACACAAGCAGTGCGGCAGCGACCGTCCTCACTTCCCAGCCCCTCAGCTTCAGCTTCTTCGAGTATGTCGACCACTCCTTCGTCTGACCGTAGCTTCTCTCCGGCTCCATCTTCGTCATCATCTTCGTCCTCCTCCTCTCTTTCAACCACATCCACCCACACAGTAGTTCCTTCGACTCCCAAAGGTCTCCATGTTGCCCAATCAATGACCTCTATCGCCGCTCTTCCATCGGCCTCACAATCCACGACCTCTGTATCTTCAGATGGTACCGCAAGACTTGCACGTTCTGCATCCTCACTCTCCGACCGCAAGCAGAAAACACAACGCGAGACAATGATCAGACGTACACTGTCTCCCGTTACGAATGTTATTACACACCCTGTTGTATCGTCAACTGAGCTCCGGAGCCCAACGACTTTTGCGTTGGTCAAAGCTTACGTAGCTACCGTGCTGAACTCGACGAAGATGACAACATTTTTGATTATCGCGGTAGTATTCCCATTGATATCAATAGTGTTGCGACTCAGACGGCGGCGAAGGTTAGCTGCAGGTGGAGCTGTCAATACTGCTGATATGGTTAGAAAGAGACTTCAAGTTGTAAATGGGAGAGAAGCCGGTGTTCTGAGAACGGCTTGGAGTGAGATAGTCAGGATTTTGGTGGATACCATCAGAATGGGCGGGAGTGGATTAGTATAATTATTGTAAATTACAGAACTATTTCTGCTATATGTTCTCGATCACCCTAGGTGCAAGAAACCATGAAGTCGCCTCGAGGCTAGTACAAAGGCAAAATATAACCATTACCAATTCTTTCAAGTGACGACCATGACCGAACATGACTGCACGACAATCCTGGAGGAAGACCGCGACCACGAGCTCAGAGTAACCTTTAACCCGCCGCTATATCTCCAGCGAAAGATATGGATTCTCGATGTGATGAGAAGGGATAGCGTTACTGATGTCAGTGGATGTCTTCACTGTCCTCACCTTACTGTAACTTGCCCAGGTCGTCGATATAGGTTGCGGTGAGGGACAGCTTCTGACAGCTCTCTGTCAGCCAGCTCCGTGGCTTGGCCCACCACCACCCGAAATATTGCCTCCGTCGGACGCGACTGATACCGCGACGCCCAACTTTAACTCTCCACATGATCCAATACCAAACCTCCATCCCACACGCATAGCTGGACTCGATATCTCACAGAGGGATCTCGATTTCGCAATCCAAGCTACTACCCCACCGCCGCAAACTAATGATAGGCACCTTACTTCGACCCGGTGGGAGCCTCTGGTAGCGTCTATCTGGAAGGGAGGCTTGGAAGTTATCAATGAAGCATTTGTAGGAGCAGAGTGTATTGTGAGCTCAGAAGTGTGAGTATTATTTCTGGTGCTATATTTCTTTTCTGACTTGAGCCAGTATCGAACATCTACCATCGGATATCTTTCCATTCTTCGCGCCAGTTCTCCTTGGTGTATACCATCCAAAGATATTCCTCGTTACAACACCATCCTACACCTTCAATGCTCGTTTCACCTCCCCCAATGCCGCGCCCTCAGTCCGCAAAGGTTATCCTGATCCTACGAGACGTACTAATAGAATCTTCCGGCACGACGATCACAAATTTGAGTGGACAGTGCAGGAATTCCACGACTGGTGCCAGGAAACAGCCGAACGCTGGGGCTACGAGGCACATATTAGCGATGTGGGTCGCGCTACGGAAAAAGATGAATGGGGACGAGATGAAATGCTTGGAGGTGCTACTCTAGTGGTAGAGTTTAGGCGGCTTGCATTGGCAGATGCCGAGAGAAGTTGCTTGGTCGACGAAGCCAGGAAGATGGTGGAAAGTACTCAAGAACAAACTCATCAGTTACTTGCCGACCACAGACACGTCGCTCATCCACAATCGCGACAACCCATTTCCGTTGCAGAGATTGGGAAGATCATCAAAGCAAAGATGGAGGAGGAACGCGAAGGATTTGTGCGCTTCGAGACTCTCTGGTACGACAGGGACATTGGGGTTGCTTGTGGTGGATTCACGGAAGTCTTGGTCAAGGCCGTCGAGGAATGCGAGGGGCTGATACTCAAGAGGGAGGGCACTGACGATGAAGAGCTATCGAAATTGGACAGAGATTCATGGCATGTTGAACTCATTGGCGGTTCAAAACAGCCCAAGATACTGTGGCCCACAACAGAAGAGATGGAAGATACGAGTTTCGAATCTTTGCCTTTCGATTGGGTACCAAACGAGGAGGCATACAGCGACAGCAGCAGTGACAGGGAATGGGGGGAGAGTACAGGTGCTGAAGGGGACGTTTCTTGGAACAATTCTGAGGAAGAAACCCAAGACGAGGATGACGAGGATGAAAAATGGGGTTCCGAGGATCGTGGTTGCTGGGCGGCAGAACCGGCTGCTACACGATGGGGTAACAGAGAGTGGGGGCCGTCGACACCACCACATAGCTCTAGCGGTTCTACGGCTGGTTGGGACGGAGATGAAAGTGACGATACCCATACATCTTGATATTTTTGTATTCATGCATCACGCCTGGCTGTTCAGAAGCCCATGTAATATTAAATGATACAAGCTACAGATATGTGAGCGTAATAGACAGTGGAAACAAAAAAAACGTACCTGGTATATACTAAAAGCAATAGAAGTCCACCAGAAGCCAAAGCTACTCCTCCAACCTCGCTGACACCACGGGGGCTAACGTATGACCACTCATTAATGTGCTGACTACCAGCGGCAGAAATACACCCACCAATCAATGGATGCAGCTGAGCCATATAGGTCACCATCCACATGAGATAGCAGGCTGCAAGTGCCAGCATCAGTCCTGTCCGTATGACACTGCGCCGTCATGTTAGTGCCCATCGACGGTACAGAACCTGTACACATACATTTGGTTTGGTCCTTTGGGCACAAAGAGGGCCGACGCTGTCATGAGTGCAGCAACGACGACCAGCACGAGAAATACTGGAATGATGGACGCCATGTCAAGTAAGTAGTAGTAGCGGACAAGGACCGTGGGAATGATTCAGGACCGTCCCTGACCGATCGGCAACGCCCGAGATGGACTTGTACTCAAAAGTTATAGTTCAGCTAGCTACCAATTCTTTTGAGTCCAACGAACCAACCCGACGGCGATCTTTGCTCGCAACTTGTTCGTGTTTTAAGTTCAGCATTTTTGGGTACCGGTTTATGGCTATCTGCCAGGCGCGTATCTGTCTTTCTAACTCCAGGAACTTTGTTCACCCCAAGAAACCGGGGTCCAAGAATGCTCGATATACATAGCTTCGATTCTACTGCTGTGTTGCCGCAAGGTCTCGGTAGTGCGAGCCGTGCTATAGCATAAGATGGCAATGGTACCGTAGAAGACAGACACTTATTGTCGCCTCCAATGAAACCGCGGGTTATTTTCTACTACCGTTCTGTGGCGGATCGCTACAGAAGTACCTAGTACGGGATATGCCTGACATATTGGGTCATGTGCGCATAAAACTTAGGCTCAAGTGAGGTTTCAAACTACTATGCTTGTCATATTGCATTCAAAAACTATTTGTGTCCAACAGTCGCGCGCCAAGGAACCTTGCACACTTCGTTATTAGACAACTTCCCATTCTCTACCCCAGGTCTGTAATATATAGAATGTCCATTTTGTATAGCTCGTGGAGCGGTTCGTCGCCAGTGTGAGAGCTATCTCACCGTGCATATATCGCCGAGGTAAGTAGGAATACAAGTGCCCGATGCAGCTAGTTTTCTAGTTTTTACAGTAGGCGCGCGCGATGGAGCCTAAGTTTTTACGATTCTTCCATACGTGAGCGTCGCGATGGTACTCTAGGTCGCCGTGGGTTCTGACTACAAGCAGACATTTCGTTCACACCAAGACAAAATCGCGCCCGAAGCCGACAAGGTACAATACAAACAACTTCGCTGAAACATGATCCTTGCGACTTATCTTGAGCGCTTGCACGTAGCTTGCGATGTTTCTGCTTAATCATTGGCGAATAGAAATGAATTTACCAGAGAAAGTCTGAAGCCAATTATAAACCTGAAAAGATAACCCAAGGCTTCTTTACTTCCAGTGCGTTGGGTCCGAAACGCATTCAGTACGTGGGCTCCCGCTCGCTGGCG